TTGCTAAGGTTTGTCATGTCATGTCATTTTGACATTTGCAATTGATAATTTGACAAATGTAAACAATCAAATAAAATTTTCACAATTTCATGCCGATAAAGTCGCATGGGAACAGCTAGTCCAGTATAATCGAAAACCGATTTCATTATTACTGTGCAATTTTAGTAGAATGTTATTCGATATGTTTGCTATCCCTGTCGCCGTCAAGTGGGACAATCCTCGTCTTGTCTCACGTCTTAATTGATCGCAAGACAATCTCCGCTATCGTTAAATGCACTAATATTTACTTAACCCTAAAATGTGTTATCACTTTATGGGTATGGGCTTTCATTAACACTACAGAAACATATCAACTTTGAAAGTATAACTTCTCTTTATACTTTCAAAGATAAAATAATATCATCATCATCATCATCGTCGTCGTCGTCATCATCATCATCATCATCATCATCATCATCACCACCAGCTTCATTATACGTCCCTACCGGGGCTCGGAGCCTAAAGTCATGTTTTAAGATAATTGTTAAGAGGTATTTCATGTTAAGAGATTTGGTATAGCATATATTTCATGTTTCAAGTTCAGGTGAAAACAAAAAAACAATTCTTATCGACATTAAAAATTAATAACTAAACATATTTAACGAATCAAGAACGATTTTCATCAAATTAAAGTTCCTATGACAAAAAAATTAGCTTTTACTAATTAATTCAAATTGATTTCTACTCAAGCAAACCCTGGTCGTGAACGATCAGAATTTCAAATTCAACTTCGAAGCAAGCTGGTAGCACGGTGTAAAGGTCTTTTTTCAATTCCAATATGCCATTTAAACTGGAAGCGCCAAAAGAAATCGTAACAGTTAGGGTTGTGTGTAACATACGAGTACATGAATTATATCGATACAATTAAAGGAAAATTATTATTGTTTATTCTTTAATAGAGTATTCAGAGTTCATTCTGATTAAAAGACTTTATAATATAAACAATAATTAATTTAATTTTTAATCTGTACATTATAATTGTCTTGCAATTGTTAAGATCCAACCGTATAAGACTTAAATCGATACCAAATCGATATTTGGTTACAATCGATGACATTCAGAGAACTGGTGTAACGTCTCTAGACTAGTCCGAGGCAAGCGGGCCGATGTTATCATGGCAGTTGGCACACCTGACCGACGCTAATTGGACAATAAATCAATTCTCCCCCGTTTCTTATTGGCGAATCGAGGCATTCCAATATTGAAAATTTGGCCGAGATATTGACGTGATAAAAAAACAATAGAGAGTCGAGGTAAGGGAATAGGAAGGGGAGGGGATTATCTGTTTCTTTTGTGACCATCTCATGGTCTTCGGCTCTTATTAAGGTTTATGTTCTTGTTTTGTTTGTTGTACCGGTCCTATCGCTTAGACAATTTGTTTTCGAGACCTCGTTATTGCATTATTAATATTGATAGTTTGTTTTTTCATATAGCAGATCGTTAGTGTATTTACAAGACCAATTACACTGCGGATAGAGATGTGAAAGTAGGTATTTATTCATTGTGTTATTGAAAATTTATCGACGGTTAAACGAGTTTGTTTTTTTTTCATAGTTTATTGCTCAACAATCTTTCAACCAATGTATTGGAGTGAACATACGTAGCTTTTATATTATTGTATTTCACAGCTTTGATTTTTCCATCAAAGAATCAGCTATGTTAAAGCGCGCGGACACCTTTGACTAACCTATCGCACAACTATTTAGTCTCGCAATGCAAAAAGGAAATCTTACTAACATTATAAATGCAAACGTTTTGATTGTTGGATGGTGGGATGTTTGCTAGTGTTTGTAGCCTCAACGGGTGAGCAGATCTCGATGAAATTTGCCATAGATGTAGAGAATAGTCTGGAAGAACACATAAGCTATTCACTTTTGTTTTTTTTATACACACGGACGGAGTCGCGGGCGGAAGCCAGTATCAAAATGTAAGGTTTATTGGAAATGTCACTACAAGCTTGTTTTACGCAATTACGTTAATTCTTACTATATTATCATTTTTAGCTGCTAAAAAGTTTCTAAATAAGAACTAAGGTGTTTTTAAGCTTACTTTATAGGGTTGTGTTGCAGTGAGGTGCGCAGGCGTCATCCATTATTGCTGTTATTAACAAAACGGAACGCCATCAGCCAGCCTCGCTAATCCGGCCGCGCTTTGCCCGTAATTAAATTCTGTGAACAAGCGACCTAATAAGGCTAGCTTCACATTTATTGTTCCAACGTATGAGAAACGGAGAAATAACATTTGTACAGTATTTTCTGTAAACAGAAATAAAAAGTTACAAATAAAAAATAAGCTGTTGCTCGGGACTTCGCCCGAGTGAAATAAGAAAATAATAAAAAAACATAGCCTATTTTACTCACTGACAACGTTACTTTTTAAAAGTGTAAAAATTTTTGTAATCGGCCAAGTAGTTTTTGGGCAGGTTCAGTTCATACAAAAATATAAATCTTTCCTTTTTTTAACATTAGTATAGATCCCTGAAAAATATTAATAAATCTATGGGAAATCTATTTTCCTCGAACACAATTTTTACTTCAACTGCTTCTCGGGTAGTGATAGCTGTTGAATTTGACTTACAGAATTTGTTATTAAATTTCAGTCTTCGCGTATTAATTAAAAAAAAATCCGTGTGTAGATAGCCTAAATGAAAACGGTAGCGCGACACCCATTACGAAACGGAACGTGCATAATTATTTCGTTCCCGCCCTTTTTTCTTTCTTTGCGCAGTTCGATTTTCGAAAGCGCGCGCTAATGTAGCGTCGCCGGCGCGCGGCACGAAGTCTTGTAAACAATGTCCTCATAAAACCTCATTCAATTATCGAAACTTTTCATTAAATAAAATTAATTTTAATTACATTTTTATATTCATTATGATGTATTGAATAGTGGGTTTTGTTATCGAATTGTTTAAAAGTTTAAACACCTTATATAGACTGCTGTTTCTATTGTAGCAATAAACAATATCCACTAATGCAGCCATGACTTAATAGCAGTCTCTTACATAGTCGTTCAGTGGAATAATACTATCTGTAACTAATAACAAATAATTGAAGAAATACGTAAATGATAGTATTTATTTGCTGCAGCTGTCCGTTATGTATTCCCGTAACAAAAACTGGGTTACTTTTTACCTCTATCCAGACCACCAACGCATTCAAATGATGTATTATTAACCGGTGTATAAACAATGTCGTAAAATGACAAAATGACAAGCGTCGCTGTCAAATGTATAATATTATTCATGTTACGGTATCGCGGCCTCTCATCGCTTCCACTCGTACTGTTAACATATATTTTGACAGATGACATAAGTTCGGCGCCATATCGCCGAGCTGTCATCTCGAATACAATTTGGATACAATAATAAGCCTCCCCGTCTTACGTTCGCTGATACAGATATATGTAAATCAAGCTAATGATCTGATTTCAAATTCGAAGTATGGCGCCTGATTTTTGTGTCTGTTTCACTCCTTGACACTTGTATTGACACGTTGTTGTATTTATCAAAAATAATACGAGGGTTAAGAACATCTGTGCCGTACAAACGGGTTTGAGTCCCGCGGCACAACCTACGCTTGGACTACGAATGCACCGGAGGGCATAATATTGTAAACTGAGGGGAAATGGTACTTACCAGCTCAATGATTTGCCTCACCTCCTGCAGGTGCCTAGTCTCAGTCAGTGTCAATCGAGTCAAAGTTTGGTTCTGTCAAGTCTATAGACCCAGCGGTGCTGCCTTAAGATGCAACCATATGCACCGTAAGGATTTTGAACGCGAAACCGAATTAACCGAAACAACCGCGCAACCACTTTCAACTTTAATCCGCACACGTCTTCACCCGACCGACACGCTTGGCTGCTCGATTCCAACTTTTTCCGCACCCCTCTCCTCAGGCCCCACGCCCGTCCGTAGTAGAGAGGGTTTCTCCATCTACCCGCCCGTAAGGGAGAAATAAAATAGGCGCGGTTACCCGCACTAAACTCAGGGCGCGAAATTCAAAATTATGTTCGTATGACCGCATACGATCTGTACCGAACAACATCGTTTCGTCCGGGCTGGCAATTTTATACCCTGCTAACTTAACGATGTGTTTGACAATCTTATTGGTTTATTAAAATATGCTCACTCTTGGCTTATCTAAAAACTCACTAAATGAAAGGTTTATTCTTTTAAGACCACAGCTTTTTACACTATTATTCAACTATTAACTTTTATTTGTTTAGTTAATATGTCCGCAAATCATCTCTTAATAATTGCGTACTAAATAAAACTACACCGAATCCTTATAACAGAACTTTTACGTTATGTTTAAGCCAATTCATTACTTTTGTAACTAGTTATATACGCTATAGCTATATGATATGGGATTCTATTTTTCATAATTCTTACAGCTAACGCCATCTATCAATAACAAATTAAACTTAGTAAAAAATAAGCACATTTATTTGAATTATTGATATGCTTTCAACCTAAGAATGTAAATTAATTAATCATAGTTTAGTAAACCTTGTCTTGATCGTACGGAATGCATCGCGTGGGCAAGTGAGCAAGTAGAACTTCACTCACTTCTTGACAAATAGGAATCAGTAGCATCATGACATCTGTCTTCGAAGTACAGACGGCTGTTTGATTTGAAAATAAAGATAAACCCATTCATTGCAACCCGAAACGTTAAGCTTAATTGAAACAAAAGCCTGTTTTTATCTATAATCAAAGTTTTTAATTACGTTTAGTCAAATATTTATTGTAACGAGTTTTAAAAATATCAATTAAAAAACGATACTTACATCAAAATGTATTATAAATTCACTATTGTGGTGTAGGGTTTATATGTAATTGTTATGTGTACGTTATAACTTAACTAATTATGAAAAACATGAACAGATTTTATTTCCGGATAATTTTTTTCTTATATCAATACTGCGATGAAAGTGTCAAGACTCTAACCTAACTGCCAAAGTCAAAGTCAACCACCTAAACGCCAAACTAGCGAAACCAAAACATTCAAAAACTCCATTTTCAAAACTAAATAAAGTGGATTATCTTTGACTGCAAATATTATTACCGCGAAATAAACACACTACAAAAGTTTTGTTTTGTTAGAACAAAATGGCTGATAAAATGCAGGATGATGACGGTAAGTTGAACATAACCGTTTTTAAGCTATTTGTTGAATGAATTTAAATGTTACATTATTCTTAAAATGTTTTCAGGTCCGTCGGATAGCAGTTTATTAGTGATAATAGTGGACACTAATCCAAATCAACGATATATCACTGAAGACCCGAAGGTTTTAACTGGTTGTTTAGATGCCGTTATTGCATTTGCTAACTCACATTTGATGCAGAAATCAAGGAATTTACTCGGAGTTATTGGATGTCACTTTCATAAAAGGTACATTGGTATAGGAATTCTAAGTATAATTACTGGAAATTTTAATGTTTTGGTAGAAAATGTGTTAGATAGCTTGTCAATATACCTTAATTGTGTAGCACTTAGAGTTTAGTTTGTCACATTGGAGGACTTATTGATTTAATAGTAACATGTGTTAAAATTCATCAAACAATACAGTCATAATGTGTGTTGTAATGTAAATAAATTATTACTTACTTTAAAATATGTACACAAAAATGTCTTAATGTTTCAGTGAATACCTGTATCCATCTCCGGGAAAGCCACTGGATGTTAGACAGATAGACGGACAGTATGAATTATTTACATTAGTAGAAAAGACTATAAAAATGAGGTAAGCAGAGGTTTTAAATACAGTAGAAGCTCGATAAGTTAAAGTCCAAGGGAAACACAAAATACTTTAAGTTTTAGAGGATTTAAGTTATCAAGGGTCTATGTTGTAGAGGTTTTGGGCTCTGATGGGAAGGGAACATGTTATTTTTTGAAGTTATAGTGGTTTTTAAGTTACCAAGGTTTGAGTTATCGAGGTTCTAATTCCATAGTCTGGCCAGCTTTTGACAAAGCTTGTGAAAAGCAATGTTTCAACAAGTTACTTTAAGTTATTCCTGAAATGTGGTACTTATGGTGTTTTTCTCATTTTTTATAGACTGGTGAATTTGATAAAAAGTCAGCCTCAAGAAGACAAACCTGGAGAATCTTTGCTGGCTGGAGCTCTTGCTATGGCACTTTGCTTCATATCTAGGGTAGGACTATTACATATGTTGTCCATATTAATTTAATTAAAAAAGAGATTTACTTGTTTAAACAACTATAAGACACACTAGACTAAGGTGACTTTGGCCAGGTCACCATTGAGCCCCTCGGTACTAAACATAAGTAAATCAACTAAATCAGATGAGCCATAGATCAGACCACTGTTCATGTGTGAAACAGATCACTATACTGATTTGCAGATCAGTTCAATTGGTACCTTGTTGACATTAACAACTGAAGCTTTGGTTTTGGCACAGTTTTTGACCAAAATATAGTTGAAACTAGAGAGTTTGTAAATTTTTGACCATTGTCAAACATCAATTTTATGTTACCTAACTGTTGTTCGCGACTTTGTCCACATAAATTAAAAATATACCCTATTTACTCGGTAATAATATTATTTTTAATGGTGAAAGTATTTATAAAATTGGCCCAGTAGTTTTTGAGTTATTTCAATATGTACAATAATACAAATCTTTCCTCTTTAAAATATTAGTAAAGATTATGTTAAATTGAATTTAGTTGTTGAACCACAGTTCAATTTGAGATGTTGAATATTTTCAGAGCCGACTTACACTTAAGTGGCAAAAGTAGAACACAGTTTGTTGTTATGTTATTGTTAAAATTACAATTTTTGTTGGTAATGTTCTGATTCGATTGTATTACAGATGCGTCGTGAGGCAACACCCGGTCTGCGTATGAGCAGTCGTATTCTGATAGTAACAGGCAGCTCGGACACCGCAGCACAGTACATTAATTATATGAATGTATTCTTCACAGCACAGGTGAGTGTAAATATTGCCGTCAAATTGTAAACTTCACCAGATTATAATCTTCCTAATCATATAGTCACTGCTATTTTAAAATTGTGTCGGATTTAGAAGGATAATGTATTTTACCCGTATTTGATACTAGCTGTAGCTCGCAACTTCGCCTGTGTAATTTAAAAATATAGCCTATGTTACTCACAGACAAATTACCTTTCGAATGTTGAAGGACTTTTTAAAATTAGCTCAGTCATTTGGGATCACTTTCATACATACAAAAATACAAATCACAATATTTAATACTAGCTGATTCCATATGGCTTCATCCATCAATTTTATTTTATTACTTGTATCCCATTTAAATTACAATTAAGGCCATTGCTATTGGCTGAGAATTTAAGTAACCATGGCAATTTTGCTTTTCTATTTTTCAATTTAGTTCCTTCCTTCCTTTTTATGTCAATTTAGTTTGTCACTAACTATATCAAACTTCCTCTAATATACTCATTTGGTATTTTATCCATTCAAGTTACCCCACATATCTATCTTGACATTCTCACTTCTGTCAAATATAGTCTCCTTTCATCCGTCTTTTTTACTGCCCAACATTCAGATCTATACATCATGACAGGTATTGTAAATTTCTCCCCTGAGTGTAATAGATTTTTTTTTAACAAATTTTGGTATTTAATTTCAGAAACAGCAAGTTCTAATAGATGTATGTTCTCTGGACAAGCACTTAAGTCTGTTGCAGCAAGGCTGTGATATTACGGGAGGTCTGTACCTCAAAGTGCCCTCTCTTGAAGGATTACTGCAGTATTTATTGGTAAATATAGTTGTAATGCAATTATTTAGTTTCTCTTGTACAATCAGCTTTGTTCGCAGTGTCTTAGTGACATGAAAAACAAATAATGTATGTTTTTTACTAAAAATTTCTAAATCTTACTAATATTATAAATGCGAAAATTTAGATGGATGTATGGATGGATGGATGGATGGATGTTTGTTAGCGTTTGTAGCCTAAACGGCTGAACGGATCTCCATGAAATTTAGCACAGGTTTAGAGCATAGTCTGGATATACACATAGGCTACTTTTTATCCCGGGATAAGTAACGGTTCCCGTGGGATTCATTAATATAGTTTTTTAATGTTTACTCGATCATTCTGCAATGGTTCAACATATCTTATTGAAATTTGGCACAGATATAAAACAAAGTCTAGAGTACACATGGGATAAGCTTCATCCCCGAGGTGTCCAGATCCCGAGGGATACGTAGCTTTTTGTTATTTATAGTTCGTATGTTTTCTAATACCACGCGGACGAAGTCGCGGGCAACAGCTCATTTCTAAATATTTCTAATAAAATACAGATCTGAAACCTAATATAGGCAATTTTTATCCATGTTTTACTACAATTTACTTTATATAGTCCCAAAATATGTTCTTTTTATTAAATGTTATATTGATTTAATTTTTAAATTATATAAAATTGATAGACATGTTTGATATTTAATCTTCATTATTCAAATAAAATGAGAAATGTAATTTTAATTTTTTACTAATGTTATAAATGCAAAAGTTTAGATAGATTGATGTTTCTTAGACGTTTAGACTGCTGAATGGATTTAGATGAAATTTTTCATAGATGTAAGGATAGTCTGGAAGAACATATTATAGAGTACTTAACCTTTTAACAGTGGTAGAGCCTGCTTTAACATGTTAGCAGTGCAGGGCTCGCCCCCAGTTATACCACGACCACACAGGCGTCAAATGGAAGTAATTCCGTGTTTCGTCCGATGAGTGTGGTGCCGGAGGCCTAATTTAAGGAGAATGCCTTTTATTTTAAGAGGAGGATGGGAAGAAGTGATGCATAGGAAGGGGAAATATCCTCTTTATGTGCGTCTCTTCCTCCGGCGGATTAGGGTAGGCAACGCATCTGCAACTGCGGATGTCTATGGGTAGCGGTCGCTTCGCCATTTTGGTGGTTTCAGTTGGCCGCTTGCTCGTTTGCCACATTATGTTATAAAAAAAACCTAGTTTTTTTTTAAATCTTGTAAGAAAGCGAGCGAAAGCTAGTATGTTATATTTTCTTGGTATTCCAGTGGGTATTCCTCCCGGAAGCTTCAGAACGTAACGAGCTAGTGTTGCCGGGGCGAGGTAGAGTGGACTACCGCGCGGCTTGCTTCTGCCATAGAGAACTACTAACTATCGGATACGTTTGCTCTGTTTGTTTGAGTGGTAAGTACATGCATTATATCACTGGAATATACATTCCAGCTACTGGAATACTATCATGCCAGTAACTGTCATCATAAATCATTTCTGGTAGGTATGTCCGGGATAATAGGTGTTTACACCTTATAAGCTAAAAAAGTTTGAACATTTGAAATGAGAAATGAGACGCGGAATAAAAATCGATGCAACGCTGCTTAGAAATGTATTTGTATGAAAAAAATGTCGGTTCATGATATATGGCTAGTTTCTTTTATTATCCCTTCGTTTGCACTCACAGCTATCTAATTAGTTATTTTTAGGAAGAGGCTGAGTTTGTCTCGTAATGTACAAGGCATTTTTTTTCTAAACACCGCATAATTCCGCGACTGTACCTTTATAGACATATAACTTCTTACTAATATTAAAAATGCGAAAGTTTACATGGATGGTTGTTTGTTAGAGTTTATAGCCTAAACTTCTGCACGGATTTCGATTAAATTTGGTATAGATGTAGAGGATAGGCTGAAAGAACACATAAATAAATAAACAAATAAATAAATGAATAAATTGTTTATTACTTAAAAACATACATTTTTACAATTAGGTATCCGTTGCTAAGACATAGAGTACTAACCTTTTTTTTTTTTCATTTCGCGTGGACGGAGTCGCGGGCGAAAGCTAGTTTCTTAGAATCTCGTTGACATTTAACTGACATTTTAAAATTCATTGTTCCAGTTACTGGTATGCTGGTTACTATCTTATGTGTATGTGTAATTCCTTAAATATGTTACTGTTGATTTGTATTAATTGATTTTTATGTTTTATTTCAGTTTTCTGCAAGTTCAGTCCGATCTGCACAACATGTCAGTAAGTATTATTTTAATCTTACTAATATTATAAACTAGCTGTTGCTCGCGACGTCGTCTGCGTAAAATTTAAAAATAAGGCCTATGTTACACGGCGGTAATTTTTTTTTATGATATAAGTTGGCAAACGAGCAAGCGGCCACCTGAATCCACAGAAATAGAAAGCGACCGCTGCCCATAAACATCCGCAATTGCAGTATTCGCTACCCTTGACGGCGGAGGAGACGCACATAAAGAGGACGTTTACCCTTCCTATGCGTCTCCTCCGCCGTCAAATCCACTTTTCCTTCCCATATTTTCCTCTCAAGAAAAGGGTGGAAAGGGAAAGGGATAAAAATTATGCCTCCGGCACCACACTCGTCAGACGAAACGCGGAATTGCTTCCACTTCACGCCTGTTTTCTGTGTGGTTGTGGTATAACACCGGGCGAGCCGGCCCTGCAGTGCGAAGATGTTATAATGTAGGTTTCTAATGATGAAATTCAAATTCTAATGGTATAACAATGGTAGAACCCGCTTTAACATTTTCGGACTATAGGGCTAGTCCCTAATAATACCACGACCACACAAGACAGGAGTCACATTGGAGAAATACCACATACAGTCTGATGAGTGTGGTGCCAGAGTCCCAACTTTAGTCCCTTTTCCTTCCCACCCTTTTTCTTATAAGAATAGGATGGAAAGGCAACGTGGATTTGACGGTGGAGACGTATAGATAGAGAAAATCTTTATGTGCGTCTCCTCTGTCGATTAAGGGTAGGCAACGCATCCGCTATTCCGAACGTCTATGGGCAGCGATCGCTTCGCCATTTTGGCGGATTATAAAAAAAAAAAGTTTGAAGTCGGCCCAGTAAATTTTAAGTTATTTGAATTCATGCAAAAATATAACTCTCTCCTCTTTATAATATTTAGATGTGAAAGTTTAGATGGATGGATGTTTGTTAGAGTTTATTGCATAAATTGCTGTATGTATGTGGACGAGTAGAGCGTCGGTGGCTCAGTGGTTTAAGCACTTGACTTGTAATCTACAGGTCTTGGGTTCGAATCCCGCTGTACCAATGTGATTTTCGACTTTTCGAATTTTCATATGTACATAATTTACCCGACGTTCTTACGGTGAAGGAAAACATCGTGATGCAACCTGCACATATCGGAGAAGAAATTCAAAGATATGTGTGAAGTCAACCCGCAGTGCAGCGTGGTTGACTATGGCCTAGTCACCACTTATTAGGGTAGGCTCCGAGCCCCTCGGTGGGGACGTATAGTGAGCTGGTGATGATGATGATGTGGACGAAATTTGGCAAAGATATACAGCATAGTTTGGTACAGCTCCTTACTAGTGTCAAAATTTTATTTAATTCTATTTGTTTTTATTTCCAGTACCGTGTTTAAAATCGGAGGACCTCTTCCTATCAAGCCTAAAAAGAGGAAGATGAAAGTTTGACAAGAAATATAACGGGTTTGTAAATATTAAGTAACTAGTTGTTCCCGTGCGGCTTCATCCGCATGAAAGTATGAAAATTTTATTTTATTGTTTACATTTGTCAAATTATCAATAGCAAATGTCAAAGTGACATGACAAACCTTAGCAATCTCTCTTTCTTGATGTTGGCAGCAACTTATGGTCTCTTTCCCACATTAGGCTTTTTATCCAAAATATTTACCCCCTAAGTTTAATATGAAAATATATAGCCTAAAGCGTGACGTAAGTGTAGGGCTTTTATTTAAAAAGAGTTATTCAAAAATATGCTGTAATTGCTGACATCTTAGGCAACACAGAAGTGTGTTTACGCTTTCTTATAATAGTATAGATTATAATTTTTTAATTCATTAATTACACTTTCATTGTTTACTTAATTACTTCCATTTGACGCCTGTCTGTGTGGTCGTGGTATTACTGGGGGCGAGCCCTGCACTGCTAACATGTTAAAGCGGGCACTACCACTGTAAAATACCGTTAAATTGGTTTTATACTGATTAAATTTGAAAAATTTATCTAACATTACTTTGTGTGTATTTTTAATCTTTTATTTAAATCTACTGCCTTTTTGTTTTAACGTCGGTAAAATTGTTGATATCTGTGATGTATTATCTTTTCATATTAATCTGCGATTCAAATGATAAAGAGGAAAGATTTGTATTTTTGTATGTATTGAAATAACTCAGAAACGAAGCCGATTCCAAAAATTATTTTATCATTAAAAATGAGTAACATAGGCTATATTTAGGACGGACGAATACGTGTGCAACAACTAGTTTTATCTAACTATATGTAACTAATTGTAGTATGGTTTTAAAATGAAATAACAGCATTTTTAAAGAACTTATATTTTCTTATTATTAAATATTTACAATCTACTTAAGTCAATAAAAGACGTACAAGAAAACATCCAAACCAGCTTAAAAATTAAATTAATAACTACATCACAAATGCCTTATTAATAAAAAAATAATCTAAGTTAAATAAAAATGAAGGTCTTTGCTATTATATCTCACTATGTTGTTCCCGTTAGCCTTCAAGGCATGAAATTATAAAAACTTTATTTTATTGTTTACATTTGTCAAATACTCAACTGTAAATGTCGAAATTCAAATGTACAAATGATAACAAAGAAGTAACGGCTCGTGCCGAGGCTCCTGAGGGAGCCCTCGAGCCTAGTTACTCATAAACGAGGTTTAGGCTAAGCGCCATCTGCGCTCGACCACCTCAAGCCTGGTGAATCTGTAAATGCCTCATCAAGGCAAACAGTGGCCATTCAGTCACAAAAAAAGGCCTTTGATATTTGATAAAAATTACCGTTACCATGGCAACCTTGCTTCCTAGATGTTGTCAGCTGGTACTTGTTGTCCCTTTCCCACATGAAGGTTTTTTCTTTACTCCTAAATTTATTTACTCCTAAGTTTAATAGCGTGAATATATATAGCTTAAAGCATGTCGTGTGTGTAGGGCTTTATATTAAAAAATATTTATTCCAAAAAACTGTAATTGCTGATATCCGACATAAGTAGTGTGTTTACGCTTTATTATATTAGTATAAATATAGATAGTGTATTTTTAGTTTTTTGCATTTATTTGACTATATTTCAATCTCAATTGTAATGAGATTGTATAGTCGTAGATGAATAATAATATTATTATTAGTAAGTTAAACGTACAAGATTTTATTTATAAAAACCCTGAGTATAACTGTGTAGTTACAAAATGTTGTACCAAAACGATTCAGTAAGGTTTTCTTTGCTTTTGGCGAGTTTCGTATACACTTTAGTTCACCTATTATAACATTTACAAATTTACAATTATCTGATAGTTTATTGAAAAATTGTAATTACTATAATCTATACTTCTATATTAATTAATAAAGCGTAAACACACACTTCTTTGTTGCATAAGATGTCAGCAATTACAGCATATTTTTGAATAATTCTTTTAGTAATAAAAAGCCCTACACTTATGATGATGGCTATATGTTTTCACGCCATTAAACTAAATAAATTGTAAAAAATCTTCATCTGGGAAAGAGACCATAAACTACAAGCTGCCAACATTATGGAAGCAAGATTATTATGGTAACGGTAATTTTTTCAATTGAAAATTTGACAAATGTGAACAATAAAATACAGTTTTTATAGTTTCATGCGGATCAAACCGCACGGGAACAGCTAATAAATTAATTGGTAGAAAAGAAAGTGTTAAGAATGAATGTGGATGGCTACAAAGGAAGAGGAAGACCGAAGAAAGTATAGATGGATTGTGTGAAAGAGGTTATGCTTAAGAAAGGAGTGGATTCAGATATGACGGCTGATAGAGATGTATGGAGCAGCACATACTGTGCCGACCCTCCGTAAGGGATAAGGGCAAGTGGATGATGATGATGAAGCTTATTTTAATTTTTTTAAATGTTTTATAACATGTCATTTACTGACATAGTACCTTATAGAGAAATTACCGGTGAAAAATGTTTCCTATGACTATTCTATGTATTTCTTAAATGTCTTTGTTTGTTATACAATTCTTATCAAGATATCTTATGTCTTATCGATGACATTGAATGCTATATCTATTTCTTCCTCCGGCGTCCGCACTTCCATACTGTGTCGCCTCTCTACTTTGTCATCGTGTTTGAGATCATTTTTAACTGACTGATTCACTGGCGCATTGACATGGTATTCCACTGTCTTTATCTTTTCTGAAGACTGGAGATTCTAAAAAAATATAACATTAAGAGTACGCGCACACTTTTGAGTTAACTATCGCAGAACTGTTTGGTCTCGCTTTGATTCCTATGAGTTACAAGGAGGTGTGCACATTACTAGATATTTAGTTGTGCAACTAAACAGTTGGTTTGGCAGCAGAACAAACGATAGTTGAATCAAAGATTTGTATAAAATAGCGAAAGTTTAGATGGATGTTTACTTTGTAGACTAAACTGTTAAACGGATCTTGTTGAAATAACAATGGTAGAGCCCGCTTTAACATCTTCGCACGAATGGGCCTGCTCGCCCCCAGCAATACCACGACCACACAGAAAACAGGCGTGAAGTGGAAGCAATTCCGCGTTTCGACTGATGAGTGTGGTGCTGGAGGCCTAATTTTAGTCCCTTTCCCTTTCCATCCTTTTCTTAATATGAAAGGATGAGAATGAAAAGTGGATTTGGCGGTGGAGGAGACGCATAGGAAGGGAAAATGTCCTCTTTATGTGCGTCTCCTCCGTTAATTAAGGATAGGCAACGCATCTGCAATTGCGGATGTTTATGGCAATGGTCGTTTTCCGTTTCGGTGAATTCAGGAGGCCGCTTGCTCGTTTGTCTCCTTATGTTATAAAATTTTAATTTAATTTTAATTTTAATTTTAAATTTCCTTCCAAATGCTTCAACGTTCCGTTTTACGTATTAATGTAACAATTCTATGTATTTTATGTTCAACTTGACACAATCTTAGTATATTTACTTAGTTATCAAGATTATAAATATTGTATACTGACGAAGATAACTATTATGTGCAAATTGCATTGTTAATTTATCGGCTTGTATTGATAAATGTTTTATGCGGCCAATAAAAGTAATGCAGTTTTATAATATTAAATTATGTTTTATGCTTTATTATTTTATTGATATTTACTATCGTCCTTAACAAATAACAAATTGAATTTAGAAATATTACGTCTTTCCTTTAATGCTAGAAAATGTAATTGTAAAGAGCCTTTACTTACAGACTTTTCCAGAATTTATTAGATAAATTGGACCCATCGAAAATAAAGCCAAATGAAAATTAATGCTAGAATGACCTTAAAATAACTTTTGTACTATTGTTTTAATTTCAGTAGCACTAAAGTTTGTGTTTATGAGTGTTTATAAATAAACAATTATCTTATTGACTGACTTCCCAATATAAAGAGGTTGTCAATTCGTCTGTATATTTTTTTTAAACTAAACATGGAATAAAATTTCAAAATATGCTCACCTCGCCATACAAGTCTAAAGATATAGAATGTCTCTTTTTATTACTCTGTTTCATTCTACCAGACCTGGATATAGAGAGCTTCCGTCTTCCGCCGAGAGGTGGCGTTAAAGTACCATCTTCTTCACCATATTGAGAGTTCCTCCTTTTATCGGATGGTGTTTGAAAGAAGGATTTTATGAACTTCGCCATTTTTCGCCAATTCGGCTATCTGATATATTTTAGCATTGTATTGATACCTAAAATGTAAGATATCTTAATTAATATTTACAATCTAACATACAAATCTAATTGATTTTATAACCTGGTTAGTTGAAAGTGATTATTTTTAACATATTTAAATCTTTAAGGGTACCCTTAGGTTATTAAGTTCTGCCAAGTTAAGTAACGGATTAAAAGACGCAACAGATTATATAACATTTATACTAACAGAAGGGACATTACTAGGAAAAGTGACTATTGACAGAAAAAAGATCTAACGTAAGTCTTATCCTTTGAAGCAGAATTAGGCCACTAGTATTAAAAAAAACACTTTTAAGCATGACTATACGTTTTTTGTATATTATGAAATTCTAAATAGGACGAAAAATTAATATACGGATTACCGTATTCATAATTATTAAGTCGTATTCATAATTATTACGAAGTGATCTAAAATTATTCATAACTCTGTAATCAAAGACTTTTAAACTAGCTGTTGCTCGTGACTTCGCCCGCGTGATATTAAAAAATATAACCTATGTTACTCTCAGATAAATTACCTTTCTAATGGTGAAAGAATTTTTAAAATCGGCCCAATAGATTTTACGTAAATTAAATACATACAATAGTACAAATCTTTCCTCTTTATAATATTAGTATAGTCCAATATGTTTGCATCATTAATTTAAATACTAAAACGTTCCAATATAAATTACTGACATCCAATAAAATAGAAATATATATTTTTTTCCATTGAATTCGAATATAGACATGAGTCTATTCTAGTCTATATTAGATGAATTGCTTGTGATTAGAGTTTCCCCAGAGAGAAATTCTGCAACACTCTAATTAGTTCCAGAAAGAGTAAGAATCGTTTGTGTTTTGTTTTAAACGGTGATAGGCTAAAAATTACTAAATAATAATATATTGTTTACCTCTTATACGCACTATGACTTCACAAAGACCGTAACACAACCACTCGCGTGTTAATTACAGTTACCCTGTAATAATATTGTTGCAACTCTTTCAAAGAAACTGTGTATATCGACTGTAGTACAAAATCATATTGCTATCTCTTTCATTCTTTACGAAAAGAATAGAGACTACGACGGCAGTGAAATAAACGAAGTCAGAACTTGCACTGAGCACTTCGCATTACCATATCGTATTGATAAGATATAAATTGATATGTTCTGATAGACTTTAATGATAATCATAATGAAGTTAATAAGGTTGCCAAACCTTTTGCAACCATACTTCATACTAATAGTAAAACTGAGAAACTATAGATGGATGGAGGCCATCCATTTATCCAGTCGTTAAGTTAAACTCTAACAACATCTATATGAATGTTTGTTAGAATTTGTAGCCTTAACGACAACGGATTTCGATGAAATTTGGTATAAATGTAGAGAATAGTCTGGAAGAACACGTAAGCTACTCACTTTTGTTTTTTTTAATACTACGCGGACGGAAATGCGGGCGAAAACTAGTACATATAAATCTAACCATCTAACTAATATTATAAATGCGAAAGTTTAAATGGATGAATGGATGGATGTTTGTTAGAGTTTGTAGCCTAAACGGATTTCGATGATTCACAATGTAAATGATAGTTTGGAAGAACGCGTAGTCTACTCACTTTTGTTTTTTTTTTTTTAATTCCACGCGGACAGAGCCGCGAGTGAAAGCTAGTACAGATATATTTTTTAATAATTAAATAGTGTCTTTAACTGTTTTCTTCGCATTCTACAGAAACGCCTGATTTTTTCTTATAATAAAGGCAGGAAGCGGCGGAGGAAGGGGAATCTATGTCCTTTTCGGTTTATGGTAGCCATCGATAACATCGAAATGTCTATAGACAATAGTTGCGGTCATTTAAATAAGGTTTCCACTAGTTTGTTGACCGACTTCCCAAAAGAAGGAGGTACTCAATTCGTCGATTTTTTTTTATTTCAACGTTTTTATGTAATAGTCGTTTTAATAGTTATATAGTTTCAAAGTGCTTATATACTTACCGTATCATATCGTGACATATCTATAAGCCGATTGTATAGTTCAACATATTAGATAGTGTAAACGCCGTCAAAGCGAAGTTTTATACAGTTAGATAATCATTCAGATCATCGACAGATAGTACGAAGATTTCTATTTCACGTTTATGACGTTTCAAATGAGCTGCCGAAACACAAGTTTTATTACAAACCAGCTGTTCCGGTGCGGCTTCATACGCATGAAATTATAAAAACTTTATTTTATTGTTTACATTTATCAAATTCTCATTTGCAAATGTCAAAATTACCGTTATCATAATAAACTTGCTTCCTTAATGTTGGCAGCTTGTAGTTTATGGTCCCTTTCCCCCATGAAGGTTGTTTTAAAATCATTTAATTTAAAAGCGTGAATATGTATAGCCTAAAGCGTATCGTAAGTGTAGGCCTTTTTATTAAAGATAGAATTATTCAAAAATACGCTGTGAATGCTGACATCCTACCCCACAAAGTAGTGTATATATAAGTATAGATATAGTTGGATACAGTCGTACACAAGTAGTGGAAACATACTGTATCTTAGCTACTTACCAATGTATGTTCGAATCGGAAATTCCATTTTTGCTGTAATTAGTGAAAACAAAAAAAATTGCAATAAAAGAGGTGTATTAATAAAAAAACAGTTCATAAAAAATACCTTTAATCAAACTGTACAAAATATTAAAAGTGCAATATACAGAATAATAACTGGGCTCTAGATGCAATCAGTCTAACAAAGGCTCTTCATATATCGACAATATAGGTACAGTCGCGCAAATCTGCGGTGTTTCACTTACAGAAAAGTTGCCTTATTCCTTGCGACGAGACAAACTCCGCCTTTACGTACAAATAATTAGATAGCAGTGAGTTGCGTAAACGACACAATGATGATGTAACGATACATTTTAAAACATTTTTGGTATCGAACTATTAGTATAGGAATAAACTGAGTGAGCAAATATTAGTACAAATTTTGCTTATACTCAGTTTATTCCTACGTTTAACTTTATACCGCGTTTATTTGTAAGGTTAATAAACTTTCAAGCGACCGTAACTTTTAGCGGAACACCGCCAGTTACCCCGATTGTATATTTACAGAACATAAATTAATCAAATATTCCTTTGACATCGTTTTTTTTTTATTTGTACCTGATTGTACAATTTCATTCATTTCGATGTTGATGAGAATATTTCTCGCAAGTATTTCTCTATAATTACATAATATAAGGGCGAGTACACATGTAAGTATTTTCACACGTGGAAGATTTGTCCCCCTCGTCCCCCTACAATTTGCATGCTCGATGTCACAATATGCTTGCTACTGGAATGCAAGTGTGCTAGTTATTGGCATGTGTATACACTAAGTCGATATACCCGTAAACTATGTAAAGCGTCAAAAAATATAAATAGCGATACACTATATTTTTCAGTTAGTCTGTCAGCAAGCCGCGTTTGTTCCGGGTAATCTTTCACTGAAGGGTAGCTGACATAGACGGGCATGTTATATGCTACTTTTTTTAATATTGCGTGGCCGAAGTCGCGGGCTACAGCTAGTTATAAATAATAACGTTTTAATATATCTTGTTAACTGGTATAGTGAGAAGTGGGAGGGCGAACAACTCGCCAACCTTGAGCCGTCATAATATTTGAAATGAGTTATACCTTATCATTTTAAAATTTAGCACAATTATACATTAGTATTGTGATCCCTAAATTTATTAAAAAGGCTATTTTAATTAAAAAAAACAGACACCAAATTTAAATAAATGTGAAATATTTGGCAAGATTAAAACACCTAAAAATATATGTAATACATAATCCACAGAATAGTACTTAGAAATAACATTTATATTAAAAAAATCAGTACAGAATAAAAAAAAGACTAAAGTATTAGTAAAAAGAATAAACTAGACATATATAATTTTTTTATGATTATTTTATTTGAAAGGCACGATTAAAAACCCAATAAATAAGGCATTACATGAAAAAATATATAATCCATTTTTTGCCATTTATTACTAAAATAATTTTAGATTGAAAAAGAATTTAAGACACTTATGGGATATCGAATTTCATTTCAGTCTTCGATTTGAAATTTTTATCGTATTATGTTAAAAAAAAACATACAAACAAATTGTACCTCCTTCTTTTGGGAAGTCGGTCAAGAATCAGGAATTGCAAAAAAAAATAAAAAATTACAGATTTCGATACATATGTACATAGGCCTTCTATGTTTCTAAAAAGAGAGATATTGTCATAATATTAAAAAATCCAGCGACAAAATATATTTACAAATCACACAACGTATCACATGCACCATAAGTACAGTTCACTTTATTATTTACATGATTACAATCGATATTCAAATCGATTATCGAATTTAAAATCGATATTTAATCAAACGACTTGTTCAGTATCATCCCTGGTCTCAGTGCTCTGTGCATTAGTAGCACCTCTATACAATTTAAGATTCGATTCTGTGTAATCGAGTATTTTTCTACTCGAATGTCTAATATAGAGCATTTGTTTATGGTAGATTTTCAAAGCGCCTTTAATAGTTATGTAAGTCAAACCACCGAGTATAGTTCTGTGTAAATTATTCTGTATAGAACGGAAGAATAATTTGCCTATTATCGTAGATATGGTAGGCAAAAGTAGGGCGGAGCAGAATATTCTGGTCGGTGATAAATGCGATTCGGAATTTGTATTCGCGTTTGTCGTTTGACCAGTCACTAATGCGCTTCTCTCGCTGTCCACACTGAAAAAAAAAACGTTTAGAAATTATACATTGAATCTATACTAATATAATAAAGCGTAAACACACACTAACTTGTTATGTACGCTGACAGCAATAACAGTATATTTTTGAATAAATCTTTCTTTTAATAAAAAGTCCTACACTTACAACACGCTATATATTCTTACGCTATTAAACTTAGGGAGTATATAATTTGGAAAAAACTGTGATGCGTGAAAAGGACAAAACTACAAGCTGACAACGTTAAAGAAGCAAGGTTGCCATGGTAACGGATGTCATGTAATGACAAAGGCCTTCATTGTTATTTGTATATTTGACGACATTTTCAACTGAAAATTTCACAAATGTAAACGATAAAAGTTTTTGTAATTTCACGCGATACCGGGAACAGCTAGTTTGATTACATAGAATGCCAACTCCTTCTAGAGTCAAAGAAAAATGTACTCACTTTCCAAAGGGCAGTATATACGCTAGAGCGGGTATCTTAGCGCAGTACTTTCTCAGGAAGAGCAGCACAGAGTCCTCCCAATTGTACATCTTAGCACTGATCAGGGTGACTGGTATCGTCGGCAGGAGGACCAGCAGCACCAAAGGGTCAGCTGACTCCATCATCTCCAGACCCTCCCTATGTCCCACGACCTGGAAGTCAACCAACAACTGATTGTTTAAAAAAATATTCGGATACGTGATTGGTTCCTAACCCGCATTTCGACTATTCTAAACCATATACTATCAAGCCTAAACATTCGAAATGAAATATGTCTACTAATATTATAAAGTGGAAAGAATTGTATTTTTGAATTTTTATATGTATTGAAATAACTCAAAAACTACTGGGCCGATTTTTAAAATTCTTTCACCGTTTGAAAGATAATTTATCCGTAAGTAACATATGCTATATTTTTTAATTTCACGCGGACGAGGTTGCGAGCAACAGCTAGTTAGTGAATAATTACATTTACCTATTAGGATGCAGTTACATTAGTTATTAGCGTACATAATTTTAGCTTCGACTGGTGATAAATTCTATTTTTATATTCGAATTAAAATTTTGCGGTCCTTTACTAACGAAAATGGTTCTAAAACGTGAGATAGCCATGGGGCTAATGACTAATGTAACGTAACGTAAGGCATATGAATGCGTGGTGCGAAAGATTTCCTATTCACGCCTGCCATCTCACATTTTAGAACCATTCTCGTTAGTAAAGGACCGCAAAATTTAAATTCGAATTTAAAAATAGAATTTATTACCAATCGAGGCCAAAATTACATACGCTATTTCAAATGTTCAAGTAAGAATACAAAAATAACAAACCGGAATAAATTTAAAGACTGACATTTTTACATTATCTCCTCCTAGTGTTTATTTCTTTTGATGTTGATATTTTTTGCCCCCATTTTAGTCCAAACATTACCGTAAATACAAATTATAATTTAAAATTAAACTATCCACAAGTTTATCGTGAGAAAGTTATGAAAACAAAATGCGATAAACGCTTCATTGCTTTGTTTACAATATAAAAGGATATTTTGAAAGAAACTCACGAGTTACTTTCATAATTATGAATACACAAAGAAAAGTATTAATGTATTCAAAGCGAATTTTCATCTAATTTATTCAAAAATAAAAAGGGAAAATGGAAATTTAATGTCGAGATGCAAAAACGTTGGCATAGCAAACTGGACGACCATGGCCAGAGGTAGGCTGAAATGGAAGAAGTTGCTAGATCAAGCCAAGGCCCACAAAGGCCTTAGAGCTATAGAAGAAGAAATTTAATCTGTATATGATATAGTTCCATTCTTTTGCCTTACTAATTACTTATCTTACTTACTAATATTAACTAGTATATTGTTCGTTTCTATTAATAGACAGTTCGATTCAATTTTTTTTTTTACAATTCAGTCGAGTCGATAAACCGGAAAACGTGGTCTAAAAGGCTAACTAAAAAAAGAAATAATAACTTATAATCTATGATATTTATAGCAACGGCTATTTGCTGGTATAACTAACGAACTTGAATGCGAATAAAAAAAAACATAAAAGGCCAAATTTATAAACAGCTTTCCAATTTTGGGTTTTAGATAATTAACTTTTTTATGATTTAGATTGTTATGGAATCGAATATTTTTTTTATTCTTAATAGCTTCAATTCATCATCAACTTCCTTATCCTAGTCTTGTAGCGGCGCAACAGGTTTTCGTCCTCCACATAACTCATCATACGTCATCTCAGTCATCACTCCCTTCTTGATGTCACCTTTCACGCAATCCATCTCTTTCTAGGTCTACCTCTACCGGTGTTCCCTTCCTCACTCATAGCTAACGCTCTCCTTGTAACATGCCAATTATTTTATATTTTTGTAAATAAAATAACAACTTTAAACATAAAGTAGCGAATATTTAACAACCAGTTAACCCACTAACCGCCATTACGAAAATACCGTTTATGTCTATGAACAAAATCTATGAAGTGATGACAAATGCAAAGAGCATATGACAAAAAACTTATACAGTTATATTTTCACATGTGCTAAACGTAAAAACACGAATAAGTGACCTGTTCGACATCTCTTAATGTTGTTCAAACATTTTACGAGTTTACAAAGTCAATATACGTACACAAAGAATTACAATGTAGAATGTCTTTGTCACCATACCAAAAATAGTGGCAAAATTAATTTCACTTCAAGTTATATTACAATCTTACTTCTTACTAATATTATAAATGCGAAAGTTTAGATGGATGGATGGATGTTTGTTAGAGTTTGTAGCCTAAACTGGTGGATGGATCTCGATGAAATTGGGCATAGATGTAGAGGATAGTCTGGAAGAACACATAGGCTACTCACTTTTTTTTTAAATTCTACACGGACGTAGTCGCGCGCGAAATCTAGTAAGAAGACCATAAACAGTCAGAAGTTAAAAGTTTGCAAATTATGCACCTACATTAAACTGTTGATCTTGTTTTACCCATGTGTGAAATGAAAAAGTCAAATATAGCTTATGTTACTCACAGATAAATTACCTTTCTAATGATGAAAGAATTTTAAAAATCAACCCTTCAGTTTTTTAGTTATTCCGATACACACAAAATACAAATCTTTCCTCAATATTAGTATAGATAACACACAAAAAGAGAATATTTTATACTACATTCCATATTACAACTGACATAGTACCTTTCAGAGAAAGTACCAGCAAAAAAAATTCACTGCCTAGTCTATACATTTCTTTAAATACATATAATCACATTAAACTTCAACATACCTGCATAACAGTAACCGCACCATATGTGATAGCAATCCAGTATATAGATCCAAGGAGTACACCTCCCGCTATAAACGGACTAATCTTGTGTGTGATCTCCTCTAACGCATCCAGCAATGCCACGAATGTACCCATTGAGGGGAACACAACAATGTATTCAGCTTTGCACTGCGGACACAGCACTTTTCTCGATATGTTGCCACGCTGTTTCTCATCAACCCAGCGTTGCAAACAGCTTTGATGTACCTGAAAGAAAAAATTACAAGCTGATAAATTTTTATAGAAAAAGATCTTCAGTCATCAGATTTTCACTGTTAAATTACATTTGTAAAAATGTTTTTTTATCTATCTCAGAAAAACATCAAATTTGTAAGTATAATGGACGCCTAAATTTAGTCTTCATTCCTTTCCTACCATTATTTATGAAAGGATAAGAAGGGAAAACTGGCTTGACAGTGCAGGGGAACACATAAGGTGAGATATCCTTGAGGGGTGTCTCCTCCATCAATTAAGGGTAAGTAATACGTCTGTATGCTAATGACTTTGAGCCCAAAGGACTTGCTTCACTATTTCGGCGAATTAATGTGGGACCTTACAACTTTAATATTTGAATATTTCAGGATGTTTCTATAATGTAAAATCAATTTTGAAATGTATGACAAATACAAAAGTCAATCAAAAGATTAACACATTCCATGCCACTACAATTTGAAATGTGGCTTCACCAAAGAATCTGTAGCAATGAATGTGTTAATGATTTATTGTAAAATATTTATTTGGTAACTCACCAAACAAAATCTGTCGTCAAATTGTGTATTTTAAAATGTTTTTCCTTTGCCATATTGTTTCTTATATATTTATCAACCAGCAATTAATATGATAAAAGTATTAACACCAAATACTTATCAATATGAGATAATTAATGTAATTTGAAAACAGCAAAATACAAATCAAAGCAATAATTACATCTACTAAATATTTAAAACAACATCACTTTTATTTCTCTTGGCTAATAATACATGATATATGATATTATTTTGTTATTAACTCGCTTTCGCCTGTCACTCCACATGGAATTTAAAAAAATAGGTGTTCATGAAAACTATCCTCAAATCCAGATCCATTCAGTAGTGTAGACTACAAACATCCATCCATACATCATAAACTTTCATCAATTGGTAATATGTGAATTTATATCGATCTTTTACATTTACAAGATAGTGTTATGTATCTCCAAAATGGTTTATATAGCTTAGGCCTATATAACTATTGTTGTTCCATTATCACAAACAATAAAAAACAGTTCAAACTTAACAGTAATCAATCATTTGTTGTCACAACAAAAACGTTAAACAAAGATATGAATCAACATGAAATGTTATATAAATATGTAAACAAACAAGCTTTTATTATAATACAATATTGCTTAGATATTTTTAAATGCAACAAAGACATGTCTATCAAGATAAAGATTTTATAAAAATAATATATATTTTCAAGGAGAATGAAAAATGTTATGTTTCTAAAAATGATTAGACAGTTAAATTAGTATTATTTTAATGACCTGGAATTAAATATGTTTTATAAAAACATTCAAAATTCGATATTATTGTAGAAATATTTTCCTTAAAAACTAAAACAACCATAAGTTTGAAATAACAGTTACTATCTATATTTATATTGCAGTTCAATATATTTAGATAATGTCAAAACAACAAACAACTTTTCGATTAGATCCATGTGTAAAAAATGGGTCTAACCATGGGTTGGTTCATACAAAATTGTTAAAGTAGACTCTACCTGTGTTGATCAAATAAAATCAGAAGAAATGAGGAAAAATATGTTATACTATTGCAAAAGAAACAAAGGAGTAGTTTTTTGTTTAAATGAAATAAAAAATGAACCAAACCATGACCTTTAAGATAGTAACTTATATGGAATTATGGATATAAAGACATTTATGTACTATATATTTCATGACAAATAATGTAGTTTATTTTATGTTGATTGTTTGACTTTTATTTTAAAAAATAATTAATCAATCGTGTGCTATTAAAATCTTAATTTTACTTACCCATTTCGTAGTACCAATGCACTTGCAGGGTTGCACCCAAGCTGCCAGTCTATCATCAGATTCTGTTGCAAAACAAACCCAGCAGGACTTCTGGTTTTCATCTTCTGTAGTCTGCAGAGCTTGTGATGCACTTGGATTTGCACTTGGTGTCGCGGAATTCGGTTTATCCTGATTAGCCATTATGCACGTAAGCAATATAAAATGGTTTCACTCCTAGAACTCGATGTCTGATAAAGGTTTTACTTGACAAAATAATAAAACACCGTGGATATTTGATAGATAGCGATATATCTTTACACCTCGAAGTAGTGTATGTTACTCCTAGTTTCCAAGTGAAAGGATAACGTTATAAACATAAATGAAAAATAAATTCGCATTCCGCATTTACATTTGCAGATTGACGTTTGCTTTCAAAACTCAAAGTTCTCATGTCACTTCTGTTCTGTCACTGGATAAACTGGAAAAGATAAGCGAGAAAAAGATTGATTTCTTTCTCATTAAGTTCATTTGTTCAAATTACATAAAATTATACTTTTTGGGAAATAAGGCGTGGAAAATTTTATCGACATGAAAAAGTGAACAACGTGAAGCCCGACACAGAAAGTCACTTTTGGTAATATTTATTCTATGTTGTCTCTCAACTCCATCATACTCTTTGAATTTTAACTTGATTTGACATATTGACAACTTGACATTGACATCAACTTATCATTGTCGAAGATGTGTTGAAGTCTTTAAGGTTAAAGTTTTTAAAGTTTTATATTTATTTTAAAGTTTTAAATGTAAGTGTTAATTTTACTATATAGTTATAGTTAAGAAATTCTTAACAAATTTCTCCAAAAGAAGATAAAGACATATAAACAACTGTAAGTTTTTTAAATACCTTCGCAATTTGTACAAAACATGTTAAAACCACTGAAACAACTATTTATTCGTATTATAAATATTAATTTATGAGTAATTGATTATATGTAATCCTTTTAACCGGCACATTTTGTTAACGTTTATGTAATTAGCCGAACTATCTAAAATTAGTTACATACTTTTACATAACTACTTTTGTGATCTGCAAGGACTAAAGGTAAACGTTTGATAGCTGGAATTAAAAAAAAATATATCTTACTACTACTAAATCTAAACTTGGGTTATGCTGCAACCTACGAAATCTTGGGTTTATGCACAAAAAAATTAGTAACAGAATTCTTTAAATATTATATCTAGTAGCTACCAGCTAACAGTGTAGCTACACCATTCTATAACTGGAAAAGTCTAACTAGAATTCAATAATGACTTTGTTTTTGATTTAATTTGACTATTTAAACTAAATGTTCTATTTTTTTGTCTACCGTTATATATGCTAATAAGCTACATTATATAAATTAAGTTTGCTAACTATCTAAGAGAGCGACTACTTCTTTAACTTAGGTAATCTTAGGCTCACTTTAATTGTATTTATAGGATAATTTAGGATTTTTTTAATGCAACATTATGTAGTGGAAACCTAATAATATTGCCTATTACTTTGTGTAATGAAGTATATTTCTTTAAATACACAGCTTGGAAATAAAACAAAGTTTTCCAGAAAAAACTTGACCTTGAGAGTAGGAGAGGGGAATGCTGTATCACTAAGAATGCAAACTTAATGTAGTGTTGCCATTGTTATAGATTTCCCCATGTTTTCGGGAGTTTCAATACAAAACAAAGCAGGTTATCCCGACATTTTATTACTGGGGAAAAAAAAACAAACAAAAGTGCTAATAATAATAAATTTCCTTATGAATTGTTTCATATCATTTTCAACAGAATGAAGAATTTTGAGTTAATCGATTTAAAATAGCAAATAATTTGAGTAATGTTAATATTCTTTACAACATATATATCAAAAGAAAATTACAATGAGTTTAAAACAAAAAAATAATTAAGCTATTTTTAACAATATCTTATGGCAACACTAGAACTTTTGACCGTCAGTTAAGGCGGGCGACTCGCGAAACTCGGTCGTCGTTCTGTTTTGCAGTTAACGTGAGTTTTATCGTAACTTTCACTTACACAAGCCTGTTTACTGTTACATCATGTTATTTTATAGTGACACGTGATGTATATTTTATAGTATATAATGTAATACATAGTCCGGTATGCGATATATGTTACACCATAAATATGCGGTAAGGTTTAGCAACACTGTAGCACATATAACTTGTCCTTTGGCTTTCTAAAACGCTTGTGACGAAAAAGGTTATATCTTAGATCCCATCGATATATCTTATTATCATTTGTTCCAAATGTGTCTTTTTACTGTCAAATTTATATTGCATAATGTATTCTTATAAGAAATATAAAATGTAGTATTTATTTATTCTTTACTAACTTTCGTTCGCAACACCGTCCGCATGAATTCAAAAAACAACAGTAGCCTATGTGTTCTTACAGACTATACTCTACATCTATGCCGAATTTCATAGAGATCCATTAATTTAGGCTGCAAACATCCATCCATCTAAACTTTAGAATTAATTATATTAGTAAAAGTTACCGTAATCAGAATATACGTACACTAAAATAGTATTTAAAAAAAATCTAGTTATTAGTGTGGAAGGGTACATCGGTAGAAGTAGACCTAGAAAGAGATGTATGGACTGAGATGACGTATGATAGAGTTATGTGGAGGACAAAAACCTGTTGCGCCACTACGGGAGCAGGATAAGAAGGAAGATGATGATTTCATAGTATACTATGGACACATAAAAAAAACCTTGCCGACTATAACTGTATTGCATCTATCTCAAGGATAAATAGTAATTTACTTTTTTCTACCAGTAAATTGACTATTGAATTAATATTGCAAAAAGTTTGCCAGTTGCATTATTAAAATACTTTTTTTTAAAGTAAAAGAGTTTCTCACTTCAATCACTTTCTTCCTAATTTTTTAAAATTGAGGAAATAGAAAAAAAAAACGATTTTTGTTTTTTTGTTGTATACTTTAACGTATTTTATAGGTTTGTCTATAATATCTTATACACATAATTTGTTGATTAATTACTAACCAAGTAAAACTGTTGTATCGGTTTTACAATTGAATATAAATGTATCAATATTAGCCGTAACTGAAGTAGTGACGCACATAACATCCTGTGTTCGCTGTTTGGCAATTGATTGTGGAAACCCCAATACCAATTTATAGAGTTTGGCGACGTTTTTAATTAAAATTTGCTATGACCACTACTGTAAAACTAATAAGGTTTTATTAGACGGTTTTTACCGGGTTTACTCTAGTAAATACTTCATGCTAATATTAATGCGAGAGGATGAGAATTTAGATGGATGTTTATTAGAGTTTGTAACGTAAACTACTGAAAACATCTCATTATATTTTGGCATAGATGTAGAGGATAATCTGTAAGAACTTACTTTTGTTATTTTTTAATTCCATGCGAACGAAGTCACGGTTGAATGCCAGTACTTTATAATATTATATGCAATTGTCGCATTATTTTTTTATTTAAACATGCGATTTAATGCAGCACAAGTGATAACATTTCACCTCCGTTGATTACAGTTAAAAAAAAACTTTTATATATACTGAATTGTTCCAGGAAAAAAAAACAGATAACAAGAACTTGATCATGTTTGCTATAATATTGCTAAAAAGAACGAAAAGAGTTATATCTCTAAAGGGATAAAAGATGTAACTTTATTCATCTAATGAATCGATTTTTGAAAACAAAACGTTGTTTATAGGTTAAACTATGATAGTTCGTACCGACACCACATAGAGGCCTAGTAGTATTCAGTCCCTTTCATCCTTTTCTTAAGGAGAAATGACGGTGGAGGAGACGCATAGGAAGGGTAAATGTCCTCTTTATGTGCATCTCCTCCTCCGTCAATTAAGGGTAGGCAACGCATCTCCAATAGCGGATGTCTAGGGCAGCGGTCGCTTTCCATTTCAGTGGATTCAGGTGGCCGCTTGCTGGTTTGCCATCTTATATTTAAAAAAAAAAAACATAACTTCTTCTATACTAATATTATAAAGAGGAAAGATTTATATTTTTGTATGCATTGAAATAAAAATAACTAGTGGATCGATTTCAAAAATTCTTTCACTATTAAAAAGCTACGTTATCAGTGAGCAACATAAGCTATGTTTTTTATTATTATTTTTTATTTTTACGCTGGCAAAGTCGCGAGCAACAACTAGTAATATTATAAAACCAAATTTTTAGATCGATGGATGTTAGAACGGTTCATCGAATCCAGAGGAAATTTTACACAGATGTAGAATAGTCTGGAATAACACCGTGACTAATTACTAAGTTTTATTTACTATTCTGCGCGGAAGGAGTCGCGGCAAAATCTAGTTTAAACATAAATTTTAGGCAAGTTTATTTAATGCTTGTTTTTTTACAGTAGATTTCTGATGACGACTGATGCGTTTGAATTATTTAAAAATTTAAATGAAAACAGTGAATTAAAAACTTTGTGCAAGACTGTTTGTGTACTCCGTTTTGAAATCGATGTAATGTTTTATTTACGAGTGAATATAAATTCAGATCTTAGTAAAAACAATGCTAGTAGAAATATATTTCAATATTATAAAGTAACATAATATGTTGTCCAAAAAATATGCCGCCCATATTTATATAATATTAATTAAAAATAAACTTTTCGTATTATATTTCTTCCAAATAAATGTCACCTACAATATAACATAAGGAACTTATTTTTTTTGTGTACTGTTATTTTTATCGCCTTGTATAATATATTATAATATATGCATTCGCTATGTTATCAAAGACATTGACCTCATGTATGACGTACATTTTAGCTGTTTGGTGCTAAATATTGTATTAAAATTTATCATCTTCCTCCTTGTTCTACTCCCGTAGTGGCGCAACAGGTTTTTGTCCTCCACATAACTCTATCATACGTCATCTCAGACATTACTCCTTTCTTGATGTCACCTAAATTTCTTTCTAAAATTGAAATTGTATTTAAATTAATCAATCATTATGCCACTAGGTACATATCTATACTATTATAATAAAGCGTAAACACACACTTCTTTGTTGCCTAAGATGCCAGCAATTACAGTGTATTTTCGAATAATTCTTTTTTTGATAAAAAGCCCTACACTTACGTTATTCTTCAGGCTATATATTTTCACGCCATTAAACTTAGGGGGTAAATATTTCGGATAAAAGCCCTAATGTGGGAAAGAGACCATAAGTTGCTGCCAACATCAAGGAAGCAAGGTTGTAACCATGTCTTGTCATTCTGACATTTACAATTGATAATTTGACAAATGTAAACAATGAAATAAAATTTTCATAATTTTATGCGGATGAAGACGCACGGGAACAGCTAGTATGGTATACAAAAAGTGGGTCTAATTTGGATTTTATGCTGCAAAAAACCTGTAGAATCATGCTTACTAATCATTTTTTTTCGAAGTCCGTCCAAGGACTGTATAACTAAATGTATAAATTAAATTAGTGAATTTTAAATTTTAAAGACATTTGATTAGTCATGATGATAAAATAAGTGTTTAATGTAAAGAAATCAATATTTAATCATTTAGGTGAGATGTCAAATATTTTGCATCAACAATCTCATATTAAGGTTGTGTTAACAATTGTACACTGAACACATTTTACACTGCACTGTACCATAAACTGACAAGTACAGTCGCCTGCAAAATGCCTGGTATACACTTGGCCAGACAGTGCTCAATAACTGGACTGACAACTGGTTTAATGTGAACACTAACTGTCGCCAAACAATCCATCTTGCATTACTGTCTAATCTAAGTGTAGTGGCCTAGTGTGAACCAGGTATAATACAAACTTTATCTTTCAATGTTTTCTCTAGTTTTATCTGAAAAATGCGTAACGCAATATTGACTCGGCCACTTCATTTCAGTATCAATAGATAGTAAATGTGTGAATTGTGACCTAGGTAGATGTGTAAACTATTATCTACTAGCTTTTGCCCGCGACTTCGTCCGCGTATGATTAAATAAAACAAAAGTAATCGGCTTATCTTCTTCTAGACTATGCTCTGCATCTATGACACATTTTGTCACTATTAGTTCAGCGGTTTAGGTGACTAACAAACCATCCATCCATCTAAACTTTCGCATTTATAATATTAGTAACAGGATGTGTGCAACGATAATCTATGAATGGGTCTCGATTACTAGTAAACCTTAGGTTGTTTCAATAAAATTTACTTTTAACGATCTAACAAGCGTTCTACAAATTTATGTCGAATGTTACAAATTAGAAACGAGGAAAAGGGTTTAAAAAAGTTTTTATGCTTATTCTAAAATTATCCTTTAAGTAATGATTAAAAAAGAAACTACGGTAGTGTTTGGGAAATACAAAAAAAAGTTCAATTAATTCGAATAAAAGCAAAGTATTTTTAGTGTTTACGTAGTTTGTTAGAATGCTTCGAGTTGATTTTTTTTTACATATTTGACATGCATGATTTAATAATATGTAAATACTGGAATCGTGATAACTTTGTAAACTTATTTACTTAATATAATGTACCAAAATACACATTAAATATTTCTAAGTAACCACAGATGTTTATCGTTTCTGTAATCAATATAAAAAAAAACTCAAGTCAAGTCTTGTTATAAAATGTACTCTTATTTTCTCGACTGATTAGTATTTATGCGATATAGTAATGTTCAATTACTTATACGCATAAACTGCAAATGACCTTAAGAATAAATATAGACTCCATTTTAACTAAAGCATTATGCATAGGAGTTAATTATCGAGGTCATTGCGATTTTAAATACATGCTATAAGCTTACCAACAAATAATAAAACTCGATTCACGTGGATAATCTTTTTTGCAAGTGTGTGTGTACGAAATATAACATACTAGCTTTTGCCCGCGACTCCGTCCACGTGGAATTAAAAAATACAAAAGTAGCCTATGTGTTCTTCCAGACTATCCTCTACATCTGTACTAAATTTCATCATTTAGTCTACAAACTCTAAGAAACATCCATCTAAACTTTTGCACTTATAATATTAGTTAGATGTATTTTTTTGTGACTGAGTTGTCACTGTTTGCCTAAAAGAGCTATTTGTAACTCTACAAACCATATGACGTTCTAACAGTGAATAAAAATATGGTGAATCTGCACATATCTGGAGAATTAAATTATTTAAACTATCGTGGGACATTTTATCTCTGGTACGGGTGAATATTTGGACGGGACTTTGACTGAAAGATATCTGGTAGAAGGCAGATACACGCGGGAATGTAATTGTTAACATTTTTTTAAAATCTGAGCTAACAAAGTTTGAGGGCGACAGCTCGTACTAAATAAAAGCATTTCTTTGTCATCAAAATTCGTATAGTTTTTATTTATAAACGAGCTGTCGCCCGTAATCTTTGTTAGCGCAAAAACCACCGGTTACGCCATTTTGACAGCGCGGAATTTAAAAAAGTAGCCTATAATATGCCCGACTATGTCAGCTACTCTTCAGTGGAAGTCCGGTCAAATCGGCACAGCTGTTTTGGAGATTACCCGGAACAAACGCATCATCTTCTCGAAATCTGAAATTTTTCTTTTGATATTACAAACAGACATTCCAATTTTATTATATGTATAGATTAATGTTACATGAATTGTTGACTAATGAATAAGCCATTTACTACGTGCAAGGCAAAACATTTATAAAGTCTGCACAGGATGTTAGTGCAATTTAATATACCTATTTGTACGTACGTATACATACATACGCATACGTTAACTAGGTTGGTATAGATAGATTGCATAAAATTATTTTTTTTTTATAACATAAGGTGGCAAACGAGCAAGCGGTCAACTGAATCCGCCAAAATGGCGAAGCGACCGCTGCCCATAGACATCCGCAATTGCAGATGCGTTGCCTACCCTTATACGACGGAGGAGGAGACGCATATAAAGAGGATATTTCCCCTTCCTATGCATCTCCTCCACCGTCAAATCCACTTCCCCTTCCCATCCTCTCCTTATAAGAAAAGGGTGGTAAAGGGAAAGGGACTTAAATTAGGCCTCCGGCACCACACTCATCAGACGAAACACGGAATTGATTCCATTTCACGACTGTCTTCTGTGTGGTCGTGGTATTACACCGGGCGTGCCGGCCCATTCGTGCTAAGATGTTAAAGCGGGCACTACCACTGTTAAATTACATTTAACTTAACATTTTTTTATAACAATCACTCACACCAACACACATGAGAGACGGTTAAGAAGTAATTCATATTTCTTTAACTTCAGTTTACTATTACTAATTAACAGTAGGTATATTTTTTCTGTAATTTATATGGTTTCGATACTTAAGTTTTTGTTCTCTTTGTTGTTTAAATGTACTTGAAAAGGAAGGCATTGGCTCCTTAAACACAGGATTTCCTAGTTAAGGAGCCAAAGCGATGTTGATCCTGTAATCAATGATTTACAATAAAGAATATTCATAATTATTATTAACTTCGCTAGAAACAGGTATTAGTTACCTGTTAAAATTAAAATATGTGAAACGTAACAATGAATTTTAGATGATAAGATAAAAAAATGTAAACAGTAGGTGGCGCTACTGTGCCTTGAAATTATTTTTTATCACACAATGAGACTATAATACCATTTTTGTATTTAAGGGGATATAAATTCAAGTCTGGTACGCAGTATAATTTTTACTCTTTGCACGTATTGTACAAGGACAAAAGTTAGTCTTAAAAGCTAAAACCGGTTTACGGATATCAATAACATGCAGTTGGAAATAAGCGTACTTTAATAGTATAGCCCTAAAGGCATATTGCTTTATCAGTATCAGTTTTAACGCAACTAACGCCCTGAGCGAGATTTCTATAGCGCCCACTTTACCTGCTCGGGAGGGCGTTAACCGGCTTATGTAAGACCGTGTTTCGCAGATCAGTAGGGCCATTTTCTACTCAGCGCCCTGGGCGGCCTGTCTAAGGCAGGTCATATTACTGTGATTCTCCAATACCAAATCACCTGTAAAAAAGTTCTGTTTGTCTATAAACAAAACAATGTCAGTTGAGTGCCAACTAAGTACACGGTATTTCATTTGGCACGCCGGTAATAATAGTAGTCTTGTACCCGACGTGCCAACTTAAGGCCTGATAATAAAAATCTAAAGCAGGCCACACACGTTAGATTTATCAAGACGGTTTTAACCTGACAGACATAACCGTGTTTGTAGAAACTGTATGGTTTTGTCACACACGCTACGACGTTATAGTTCATGTATATACAGTCAAAACCATCATGCAATACTTAACGTGCGTACCCATGTGTATTTCTATACTAATATTATAAAGAGGAAAACTTTGTTTGATTGTAATAAATAGGCTCAAAAACTACTGGGCCGATTTAAAAATTCTCTCACTATTTAAAAGCTACCTTATCCCTGAGTAACGTAGGCTATCTATTTTTTTTTTATAACATAAGGTGGAAAACGAGCAACCTGAATCCGCCAAAATGGCGAAGCGACCGCTGCCCATAGACATCCACAATTGAAGATGCGTTGCCTACCGTTATTCGACAGAGGCGGAGAAGCACATAAAGAGGATATTTTCGCTTCCTATGCATCTCCTCCTCCGTCACATCCACTTCCCCTTTCCATCCGCTCCTTATAAGAAAAGAGTGGTAAAGAGAAAGGAATTGAAATTAGGCCTCCGGCACCACACTCATCATACGAAACACGGAATGGCTTCCATTTCACGCCTGTCTTCTGTGTGGTCGTGGCATTACTGGGGGCGAGCCGGCCCTGCAGTGCTAAGATGTTAAAGCGGGCACTACAACTGTAAAATTATATTATATTGTTTTTTTTTTTTAATTTCACGTGGACGGAGTCGCGGGCGAAAGCTATTATTAGTATATTATCCTCCATTCGAATATATGACAATTAAATCATTTAATATCTATATTCAAAGGGCAATACTACTCGATTACACCGCTTAAAATAATCAATCACTGAGGGTATGCTAAATACTTTGTTATCAGTTGTTATCAGTACGTGACAAAAACCACGAGAGGTTAGTGCACGTGCACGATTGACAATATTACAGCCAACGTAATTATATCAATTAGTTTCGTTACATCTAAGATAAGTGGCCAGTTTGAGATTGAATATTCAGTTAGTAATTATCGTACTGTTAAAGCGGACTAGTCATCGAGTAAATGATTAAAAAATATTTAAAATATTGTTAATAATTAGTGCAGTGATAAAAGAAGGGAAAAAGTGAGTGTAAAGCAATCTTCATACTTATGTTTTACTTAATATTATAAACGCGAAAGTTTGAATGGTTTTTTGTTGCTGTTTGATTTCGATAGAACAATAGGAACAATAAGTTCTACTTACTTTCCCGTTCCACCCTTTTCTTATAAGGAGATTGGATGGGGAAGTAGATTTGACGGTGGATAAGACGCAAAATGTGAAAAATCCTCTTTATTTGCGTCTCCGTCGATCTAGGGTAGGCAACGCATCTGCAATTTCGGATGTCTGGGCAGCGGACGATTCGCCATTTCTGCGGATTTAGGTGGTCTCTTGCTCGTTTGCCGTCTTATGTTATAAAAAAAGTTGCTTATTTTTTAATTCCTCATCGACAAGTTGTGTGTTATTCCATTCCGCGTCACGGGCATAAGGTAGTTTTTTATTAAATACAATCTACAACTCACTGAATAATAAAATCTTTGAATTGTACAAGCTAGAAAATTGTAATGAATTGTAAAATACTTTTTCTATTCAATGAGATATCTTTTTAATTAGTTTTATATTTTGCGTTATTTAGTTTGATACTTAGCTCCGTAATATTCCTCTATTGAGCAAGAATGTTTGAAGTAAACCTTAACTCTGTTAGCAATGTACCCTGTGCTGTTACCCTTTAGTACCCCGGCAACTGTTGAATATCTAATTTCTAGTAAAACAGCATTTCCAATATTTGAAATCTATTTAAATGTAGACAATATTTTTCCTGTTTTAGATCGTAAAGACTTAAGCTTTCTTTGCACGTGATTTGATATTTGATAATATTTTAAATAACAACCAATCAACGTTTATTTAATGAATTGCGAATAAATCTATTTTTCATATTGTCGACCTTATCACATATTATCTGGAGATTACATGATCCACCAACAAATTCCTGTGTAAATTAACGAATTCCGCTTATTTTTTTACGTTCCTTATGTAAATAGAAGTTCTTAAACTCCTTCTTTTAAATGGTAATAATAATTACCTTACTAATATCGACTATCATACTTCATACTAATACTATAAATGCGAAAGTTTAGATGGATGGATGTTTGTTAGAGTTTGTAGCCTAAACGGCTGAACGGATCTCGATAAAATTAGGTAAAGATTAGGATAGTCTGGAATAACACATAGGCTACTCACGTTTGTTTTTTTAATTCAACGCGGACGGAGTCGCGATTGAAAGCTAGCAGAAATATAAATTAATTCGTTATTACACGTGATATGAAATCTTTAGGTATTTTTTTTTTGTTATATACTTAGTAACAAGAAAGGTGAGATATGAATTATCACGTGACTTTAAAATTATATTTTTTTTGATAATCAGTGTAGATAAATTCAGTCACGTTCAGAAACGACTTCATTAACAAAACTATTTTACGACATTAATACAAGTAAATGATTACTTTAAGACTATGCTTATACTCATTTGTCGGAAATTTGTACAACAATATCTCTGTTTCTTTCATAAAGAGTAAAGTCATTTCTTTGTATAACGTTATCTGCAATACAACGCTACCGTTTCAAATACATTGTAAGCACGATATTCGAATACAGTCAAAATTACTTTAACTAAATACTTAAATTATTCCTTTATATTATGTAGACCATACATAACTCTAGGTTATGAATTACATTCATTCAAAATCTAGCGTGTTCAACAAACATGGTTAAGTCAACGCGGTTGTCTAGCGCCGTCTTAACCCGAAGGCGCCCGGCGCCCAGTCGTAGGAGGTGTAAGTCATTGAATGTATTTTAGGGGCGCCAGATTTTCGCATCCGGGCGCCGAATACGGTTATCTGTCAGGTTAAAACCGTCAAACAAATGCTAACGTATGTGTCCTACTTTAGAAATTGTATCTGAGATCTATGAATGTTACGTAGGAACGTCATTATTTAATGTACATTATGGGCGCCAGATTGACTTTCGTATCCGAGCGCCCAATACGGTTATCTGTCAAGTTAAAACCGTCAAGCAAAAGCTAACGTGTGTGTACTACTTTAGAAATTGTATCTGAGATCTATGAATGTTACATAGGAACGTCATTATTTAATGTACATTATGGGCGCCAGATTGACTTTCGTATCCGGGCGCCCAATACGGTTATCTGTCAGGTTAAAACCGTCAAGCAAAACCTAACGTGTGTGTCTTACTTTAGAAATTATATCTGAGATCTATGAATATGTGACATACACCAATGATTGCGCTCAAACAATGCTATTGTTTTCCAACCGAGACATTATCCGCTCTATATGTCGTAACAATGCAATTCTTCGTACACACAGTAATTCATAAGTGTTTATTTGGTGTTAAAGAATGCATACTTTGAAGTGTTTTGTACATATTTTTATAAAAATCACAGGACTGTTAACGATATTGATAAGTAAAATGTCGATACAATTTGCTCTCTTTGTCTTTTCAAGGCGAACGAGTGTGATGGAGTTATATTTAAGTGTTTATTCCTGATTGAAGTGGTGACCTTCTTTTGTTTATTGCAGCCTCTTAGTTATCTTAAGTTTGTAAAAATATTTACTATGTTCCCTTTAGTATAAAAATTACATTAAGAATGTCTTATTGCTAGAAATATATTTTACTTTACTGTGGATATGATCCTTCAAACGAAAAGAAGTGTATTTTTTGTATAGTATCTTAAAAGGTCTAACTATTTTCGGCAGCGGATCAGAGGTTATATAATTTAATATTATCTTACTAATATACGTAAATAGATGTTTGTTAAAGTTTGTAGCCTCAACTGCTAAACGGATCTCGATGAAATTTGGCATAGATGTAGAATATAGTCTGGAAGAACACCTTGTTCTACTACTTTCTTGTTTTTTAATTCCATGAAGCCGGAGTCGCGGGCGAAAGCTAGTATTAGAATAAGGGTGAAAGATTTTATTGCTTGTTCCGGATAAAAACAAAACATTGAAAATACAGATATCTTTATCTCGGATAGAGTTCAATATACGATTGTATGCAACCTTTTGTTACTCATCTCAAGTATTCGCTACTATTATTAATTGCATTAATGTTATTAACTTTTATGAAATTAATAATAATGTAAATTTATCTAAATGTGTCGTGTATAAATTATAACTCCATAGCTAGCCGCGTCTTCGTCAGCGTGGATTAAAAAAAAAACAAAATGAGTAGCCTATGTATCCTTACAGACTATACTCTGCATCCATCTAAACTTTCGCAATTATAATATTAGTAAGATTAGTAAGAAGCAAATATATAGCGTTAAGTTGACATGATTTTGATTGTTTTAACCCACGACTTATGCTAAAAGAGTATGATGTAACTCTCTTCGTATAGTACCTATGTTAAGGTTTTAATTCTCTTATTTTTTGTATTCCAGTGTCCCGCGCCATGTGTCCGATATGGCCGCTTCACATCGTGATCCTGTACATCCTGGCGTTATGCCCCATCTGGGTGATGTGTCAGTCAGTGCCGAACCTCCTCGCCACATTCGACCCCAACAATCTAACACTCCACATGAATTATTATGAATTTATCGACGTTGAAGTTAAAGGTAAACGTTTTAATTTATTAGACTAGATGTAGCCTACGTCTTTTTCAGCCTGGAATTTAAAAAAAAATAGCAGTGGTTGTGCCAGACTACTTTCTATGTATGTTCTTTCAATACATGTGCGTTAAGAAATTCCAAAATGTCTACACATGGAGGTCGCTAAGGAGGGGATATGTCACATACGTTCCTCCCTCAGTACTAGGGCGTTGAAAAATGTAATGTACAGTCCCGGACATTTTCGGTGTTCAAAACATCGCCTCTTCTTTAAAATAATCAATTACATAGCGGAGAGTTGTATCACATTTAAAAGCTATGTCGTATTGGTTTTTGTTCCGCGTCTCGTCTTAGAATGTGTTTTTTTTATATTATAAGGAGGCAAACGAGCAAGCGGCCACCTGGATCCGCCGAAATGGGGTCGATCGCTGCCCATAGACATCCGCATGCAGATGGCTTGCCTACCCTTAATCGACGGAGGAGGATACGCACATAAATATATTTTCTCTACCTATGCGTCTCCTCCACCGTTAAATCTACGTTCCCTTTCCAACCTATTCTTATGAAAAAAATGGTCGGAAGGAAAAGGGACCAATGTTCAAAAGATTGTAGCATTTTAGGTGGAACACCGCCAGATTCCCCGACTGTACCTATGTAAAAGTTACTAAAGTATGAAATATTAAAGATTTAATGTGTTATACCTTTTATACTCTCCAGGTGATGGGTTACAGCCAGCCGATGAGTTTCAGCTCAAATCGAGGAATCACCACGTAGCGTATGGAGATTGGAATTCAACGTTTAGAGTGGACGAGGCTGCGCCCAATTGGAAGGGACGGTTTCAAGTCACAGCTGAGTTTCTTGGTGAGTAAATCAAGTCTGGAAGAACACATAGGCTACTTACTTTTTTTTTATAATTCCACGCGGACGGGGTCGCGGGCAAAAGCTAGTAATTAATAAATATTTTTTTTGTTATAATTTTAAAGATTATTAAGTACTAACTGTCGCCTGCAACTCCCTCCGCGAGAATGGTGGGAAAATAAGTGGCCTACGTGTTCTTTTAAACTATGTTCTACATGCCAAATTTCATCGAGATCCGGTCAGCAGTTTAAGCTATAAACTCTAACATCCACGACTCCATCCGCGTGGAAAAAAACAAAAGTAAGTACCCTATGTGTTCTTCCAGACTATCCTCTGCATCTATGTCAAATTTCATCAAAATCCGTTTAGCGGTTTGGGCTACAAATTCTAACAAGCATTCATCCATCTATCTAAACTATCGCATTTATAATATTAGTATGATATATTCTATCTATTTCTTGTTTATGGCTCTCCCACAGCGGATTGGGCCAGTGTCAAGTGTTTGTGGTTTTATTCTAATTTTGGAGAAACTGGCAACAAAACTCTGCTTTGGAGACATTCGTGGGTGTACATAGTATGATATATTCGTAATGTGTCCAGGTCGCACGGATTTATACCTGGAAGTGAAGCGTGGTACCACAGAGTTCCCAGTGAATGGCACTCTGCCCGTCACAGTGTTAAGACCACAGCGCGTCATTGACACTATATTCACCACCAGTGTTGCCTTATTCGTAAGTTATTTTGTATACATTTTTTGATAGAATGAATTTTACATGTACTATTACATGTAAAATTCATTTACTATTACATGTTGTAAACTTACCATTGTAAATATTAACTTATTATTGCATATACTACTTGCAAATGTTTCCGCGCAATAATTAAAATAACTTAGTAAAAAGTATGTGTTCCAATGTGCATTGAGTTTTTTTTTTATTGAAAATTTACAAAAACACAATTTAAATAAATACACTAGTATGGCCCCACAAAACGATTGGATTGGTTTGTCCGCAGGTGAGGTGTTTAGACGTTTTTGAGATAAGCAAACAAACATCTATCTAAACTTTAGAATTTAATTATTAGGATTAGTTTCATTGAAGAATTTGTACTATCGTTTTCAGCTGTTTTTTTTTTGTATTAGAATCTTTTCATCATCATCATCATCTCCTTATCCTAGTCCCGTAGTGGCGCAACAGTTTTTTGTCCTCCACATAACTCTATCATACGTCATCTCAATCATCACTCCCTTCTTGATGTCACCTTTCACGCAATCCATCTCTTTCTAGGTCTACCTCTACCGGTGTTCCCTTCCTCACTCATAACTAACGTTCTCCTTGTAACATGCGATTCTTCCCTCCTCATAACATGCCCATACCATACTAACCTTTTACTCCTTACCTTCTCTACTACGGGGGCTACTCTCAAACTTCTATATACTCATTTCGTATCTTATCCATTCGTGTTACCCCACACAACCTTCTTAACATTCGCATTTCTGTCACATGTAGTCTAGAAATGTAAATATTCTAATATGTATTAGAATGTTTTGTAGGTAATTATTTAAAATTGTATATTTCCAGGTGTCGTTAATATTTATAAACTTCGGTTGTGCGATGGACTGGCCGACGGTGAAGGAGGTGGTGCGTAGACCTATCGGCCCGCTTATCGGATTGTGCGGACAGTTCGTTTTTATGCCATTGGTGAGTATAACAATATGATTTAAGGGGGGACAGATCGATTATAAAGGGGGAGGGGGTAGTATTAAAAAAATGTATCGTAGATAATGAAAAACTATTAAATTTCATTTGTTTCATAAGTATCTTATGATTGTAGGAATTTAAAATTAATTAAAAGGGAATAAAAATTAAAAAATATAGCCTATATTCACTGATTACGCAGATTTCTAATGGTGAAAGAATTATTGAAATTCTGTCAGTAGTTTTTAAGTTATTTAAAAACTAATATCAGTATAACTAGCTTTCGCCCGCAACTCCGTCCGCGTGAAATTAAGAAATTCGAAAATGAGTAGCCTATGTGTTTTTCCAGACTATCCTATACATCTATACCAAATTTCATCGAAATACGTTTAGTAGTTTAGGCTACAAACTCTAACAAACATCCAGCCATATAAACTTTCGCATTTATAATATTTAGTATGAAGTAAGATTATAACTAAAAATGACTAATTTCTTATTATTACTTGTGGTAACATATTTTTACTTGTCTTTATTTTTATTTAAATCTTTTGTTTTTAATATTGTAGATGTGTTTCGGTCTTGGTTTCCTGATATGCCCGACATTACCGGAGATGCACTTGGGCATGTTCTGTACGGGAGTGGCGCCCGGGGGAGGGGCCTCCAATATTTGGACCTTCGTGCTCGGAGGGAACCTCAATCTATCCCTCGCTATGACCACTATCTCGACACTCTCCGCTTTCGGTATGTACAGTCAGGGTACTGCGCGGTGATAGTCGCGGACAAAATCGCGAGCAATACCTAGTATTACATAATAATAAAAACCGATTGAAGTGCGTCCAAAACCAGATTTTTGCATTACCGATCGTCCAATATCTCTAACTAGCTGTTGCCCGCGTTTTCGCCCACATGAAACTGAATATGATCTATGTTACTTACAGTAAAATTACCTTTTTAACTCTGAAAGAATTTTTAAAATCAACCCAGTAGTTTTTGCGTGAATCAAATATATACAAAAATCCAAATATTTCCTCTTAACATTGTTAGTATAGATATAAAGAAAAAAATGATTGAAGTGCATTCCTTTGAAATTTTTCTAATTCCATTTGGATTAAATATTTCTAAGTATTAAAAAGAAAATTAGTACCGTGCTGTAGAATTGATGCAACACTAGATTGTCGCCATTAACGTCACGTCTCAACTGACAGCTGTCAATGTCATTAGAAGGAATTCGCGCGCATTTCTGACAGGACCACTTGTGCAATGTTAAATTAATATCGCTAGTAACAATTATATTGTTTAAAATAAGTTACTTCATATTTCAGGGTTCATGCCTCTCTGGTTATTCTCATTGGGGCAGTTATTATTCCGTAACGCGAACATGGCGGTCCCTTACCAACATATTGCTATGTTCGTGGTGGGGCTTATAGTACCCCTGGCTATCGGCCTCGCTATGCAGAAGTTCACTCCAAGACTGTCAGCGTTTATGGTGCGGATATTGAAAGGATTCTCAACAATATTGCTGCTTTTCATCATTATTTTCGCTATTGTCACCAATTTGTACATCTTCGAGCTGTTCACGTGGGAGGTGAGGATGTTTTCTTTATTATGTATATTTATAATATTTAAAAAATATATATTGAAAGTTAGTATAGCGGGTAATGAGAACGTCCACAAGTAAACATAAACACTTAATTAAAAAACTTAATATATACACAATATTATACAATATCAGCTACCTACATATTATATAGACAACATACATACATTTGTACATACCGAAAAGGAGAAAGAATAAAAAATGAAATATATAAATGATATTTTGTAGTTGAACTTACGATTTATTAAACGAAAAAAGTGTTTATAAGATCTCTCTCTCTCCCCCCCCCTACTTTCTCTCTCTCTCTCTCTCTCTCTCTCTCTCACTCACTCTACGATGAATGTGTTTTAATTGCAAACAGATTAAAATGAAACTTTTTTCACATATTCATCACTATCAAAAGCACACGTCAATATAATTAATTGTACTAAAACTTACTGTTTGTTTATTTACATAAGATAATATTTAAATGTTTATATTTATATATATTTTTGTAATAATGTAGTTTATTTTATAAAAAAGATGAAGCTTACTATAATTTTTTAAATTGTTATTAAAGTTCAATACAAGGACAGTAGGTGGCACTAAACTTGACAACTATAATACCTTTCAGAGAAAGTACCGGTGGAGAAATTTTGATCATTGCCCCTTCTATATATTTAAATGTCTTTGCTTAATTGTTAATTTGCTATGGAATTAGAATTAAAATTAAGTCCACAATATAAAGAAATTATTTGCAAATATAACACATAGAAGCAAAAGTATTTCAAAATATTAGTTCAGTCATGTAAACAAGGAATTTAATTCGCTACCCACCATAAGTTGGAACTTATCACCTTTTAGCTTTATAATTTTTAACGAGAAACATTGAAATGAATAGTATTTTTTTCTTTATTTTTCCATACTTTAGATAATAGTAGCGGGTATGGGTGTACCGTGGTTGGGGTACATATTCGGGTACACAGCGGGTCGCATCTGTCGGCAGCCGCACCCGGACGCACTCGCCATCTCTATAGAGACGGGTATTACTAACACTGGTATCGCTATATTCCTTTTGCGGTACACATTGCCGCAGCCCGAAGCTGATCTTACCACTGGTGAGTTGATTTTTTTGGTTTTTATATACTCATCATCAGTATCATCATCATCATCATCATCATCATCATCATCATCATCATCATCATCGTCGTCGTCGTCGTCATCATCCCTAGTCTTATCCCACTTACATGTCGTCTTTTCACATAACTTAACGCTTTAGTTTTAAGGACTCCTCTTGGTAACGTTAATGTTTCGACATCGATAAATTTAAATGACTAGGTAGTTTCTCGCGACCTTGTCCGCGGGGAAAAATATAGTCTATGTTACTCAAAGAAAGACCGTTCTAACGGTTAAAGAATTTTTAAATCGGCCCAGTAGTCTTTGAGTTTTTTCAATATATACAAAAATACAAATTGTTCCTCTTTATAATATTAAAAGAAACTTTCTCGCATCTTCGCCCGCGTGGAATGAAAAAATAATAAAAACATGGCCTATGTTACTCACAGATAAATTACTTTTCTAACGATGAAAGAATTTTTTTAAATCGGCCCAGTAGTTTTTGAATTTTTTCAATATAAACAAAAATACAAATCTCTCCTCTTTATAAAATTAACAGAGACAAGCAATAGTACGTAGATTTGAAAACAAAAATGAAATTTGTCACTTAATTACTTTTTTATTATCCAAGAATTTGGGCTCACAGCTACCTCATTGGTTATTTATAAGTATAAGGGATGCGGCGATGAGGAGACGAAATAAAATACAAGTTTCACTAACAACGGGTGCGCACAGTTCGTTCGCCGGTCGACATACAAGTTATATGCCGACCACCCTCAAATTTCACTTTATTTTTTTCACTTAAAAACTACCAACTGTTTTTACAAGTACCTCGGTAGAAATTAGTAATTTACATTTAACAATAACAATTATATAAAAATAATACAAAAACACCATAAAAAGGCTTTAAAAATTCTATCATCAACAAGAATTCTGTCTCATTCTAACTTTCTGTAAGTAGTATACTGCAAAATGCCCTGATTGTACAATAGTCGATATAACCGATATGTTATGCTGTTTTTTACTTCCCAGTGGTGCCGGTGTCAGTGGCGATAATGACGCCATTCCCAATGATGGCAATATATGTATACCAGAAAATAAAAGCTTGGTGAGTATAATATATATTTAATGAGTGATTTTGTGTTGTTTGAGTGTTGAATCACGAGGTTTTTTTCATTTACTTTGCACTATATTTGATTTTTTTTTTATCTAGAAAATAGTTTCCGCAAAGATATAGTTTATAATATATTTTAGAGATTTTTATAAAAATTAATGGTTTTAAATTTTTACTATTGATTTTTTTTAACATATCTTAAGCAACAATATAGCAGAAATTTCTGATAACTGGTAATGAAGACACAAACCAGTTCTCTTCCCCTTCCCAGCTTATTGCAATATGGAAGGGGAAGGAAAGCGTAAGGGGAAATATATATGTGTATTACTCTATTATATTGAGACTGTTATATCCTAGATATTTATTAAATTGTGTTTTTTTTTTTATTTTCATAATATTGTCACCACCCGTCATCATAACCATACCGCTTAGTATGGGAGGTATGTCGCAGAGTTTGATATATTCCGACATATACAACGAAAAGAGTTACATCTCAAAATTTAAAAAAACTATACTGTGTTACCGTTTCCCATTTATTTTATCACTAGCTGTTGCTCGCGACTTCGCATGAATTTGAAAAAATAATGCAAAATATAGCCTATGTTACTCACAGATAAGTTACCCTTCCAATGTTGAATGAATTTTTAAAATCAGCCCAGTAGTTTTTGCGGGAATCAAATACATACAAAAACACAAATCTTTCCTCTTTATAATATTATTTATTTTATCATTACTAGGTAATTCATTAGTGTCATGTTGATCTAAGTTTTAAAGGAGTAAAGTTAGGTAGTTCGGAAACACAGTTATCGAACCAATAACTATCGAATGGTTAAATGTAGCTGGGAAACCAGCGATGAGAGATGTAACTGTTTTCGTATATGTCGTAAGGTGGTGGTCAGTGGTGGTGGTACATAATTTGGGTACAACGGCTCGCACTTACATTGCTTTAGTTATTTGAGAGAGTCATGTAAAATTGTAAATTTGGACAATGTTTAAAGTGACTAGAAAAATAAAAAACCACCGATTGGAGATTTCACAATCGTTCGGTGACAAACTCTACTCAAATTTCTATGAGCATTTTGTTTGCTTATTTTTGTTTGACGCTTTATGATTTTTTTAACATAGTTTATAAAATGACTTTCTTTAGTTTTAAACTGTAGATTACAATCTTTAAATACTATGCATAGCTTTTGTTTCTAAGAAATTATTTTCTTAATGAGCGGACAAGAATTTATCTTATCAGCTTATTAGCTTGCCTACCCTACATTTTATTTGTACTTATGTTATATGCAAAAAATGTCTTTTTAGTATCAAAAATCGAAGAGAGCCAAAGAAAATCCTCGAAGAGAGTAACAA